ACAGAAATCAAATTAAACAAAATCGAAAGATAGAAAAACCTCCGAAATTAACAAAATAGAGCAGTGGTTTCCAAACGAGGGGTCGTGACCCACCGCTGGATGGGGGAGGTGTTGGGCGCTGGGTCTCGTGGCTGCAGGGGGGGATCAGATGAGCAGTGGGGGGGCTAAGGCAGCTCCCTGCCGGCTCCTAGGTGGGGGGAGGGGAGAGCGCATAGGACTCCATACGCTGCCCCTGTCCTGAGCACTAGCTCCACTCTCCTATTGGTTGGGAACCTGCTGCCGGCTGCTTCTGGGGTGCAGCCTGGTCTGCAGTGCCAGGAGAGGCAGGAAGCTGCCTTCGCTTCCTTGTTGCACTGCTGCCCACGAGCCACTCACGGTAAGAACGGCCATAACGTGTCAGACCAAAGGTCCATCTAGCCCAGTGTCCTGCCTGCCGACAGTGGCCAATACCAGATGCCTGAGAGGGAGGAACCATAACAGGTAATCATCATGTCATCCCTCCCGTCACCCACCTCCAGAGAAACAGGCTAGGGACACCATTCTTACACATCCTGGCTAATAGCTATTGACGGACCTAAGCTCCATGAATGTATCTAGCTCTTTTTTGAACCTGGTAAAGTTCTATCCTTCACCACATCCTCTAGCAAGGAGTTCCACAGATTGACTGTGCGTTCAGTGAAGAAAAACTTCCTTTTGTTTGATTTAAACCTTCTGCCTATTAATTTCATTTGGTGACCCCTAGCTCTTATTTGCTGATTCCCACAATATAACTTTTCCTTATTCACTTTTTCCAAACCAGTCACGATTTTATAGACCTTTATCATATCCCCTCTTAGTCTCCTCTTTTCTAAGATGAAAAGTCCAAGTCTTTTTAATCTCTCTTCATATGGGACCCGTTCCAAACCCCACATCATTTTTTGTTGCCCTTTTTTGAAACTTTTCCAATGCCAAGATCTCTTTTTTGAGATGAAGCGACCACATCTGTATGCAGTATTCAAGATGTGGGCACACCATGGTTTTATACAGAGGCAATAAGATATTTTCTGTCTTATTCTTTATGCCTTTTAAAATGATTCCTAACATTGTTTGCTTTTTTGACTGCCTTTAAGGGGTCCGGGGCCGGGAGGGGGGCATAGAGTTTCCCTGGTGTTGGCCAGAGTGGCCACCAGGGAAACCTGGGAAGCCTTAGCCTCCCACTAGTTCGAATTAAGGGTCTACACAGCCCTTAATTCGAACTAGCTAGTTCGAACTAGGCTTAATCCTCGTAAAATGAGGTTTACCTAGTTCCAACTAAGCGCTCCGCTAGTTCGAATTAAATTCGAACTAGCGGAGCGCTAGTGTAGCGCCTATGAAAAGTTAGTTCGAACTAACGTCCGTTAGTTCAAACTAACTCTGTAGTGTAGACATACCCTGACTTACTTTGGGGAGATCTTTTTGAAGATCTTCAGAGTCAGCTTTGGTCTTAATTATCTTGAGCAATTTGGTGTCTTCTGCAAATTTTGCCACCTCGCTGTTTACCCCTTTCTCTAGATCATTTATGAATAAGTTGAACAGGATTGGTCCTAGGACAGACCCTTGGGGTACCCTGCTAATTACCTCTCTCCACTCTTGAAAACTTACCATTTATTCCTACCCTATGTTTCCAGTATTTTAGCCACTTATCTACAAAAGGACCTTCCCTCTTATCCCATGACAACTAACTTTACTTAGGAGCCTTTGGTGAGAGACCTTGTCAAAGGCTTTCTGGAAATCTAAGTACACTATATCCACTGGATCCCTCTTGTCCACATGTTTGTTGACTCCCCCCCCACTCAAAGAACTCTAATAGATTAGTAAGGCATGATTTCCCTTTACAGAAACCATGTTCAGGAGCTCCAAGTTAGTCTGTTACAGGAAAAAAAATGGTCTGGTAGCACTTTATAGACTAACAAAACATGTAGCTGGTATCATGAGCTTTTGTGGGCACAGCCCACTTCTGCAGATGGCCAGAGTTATGAGTAGGGGATGTGAGAACTTGAAATAAATAGGAGAGGGGAAGGAGAGGGGGGGAGAAAAAGAAAAAAAGGGAAAAGGAAGGTGGGTGAGAGACAGGGCATCATTACGTATCTGGAGAATGAATATTGACTTTCCCCCAGCAAATTATATTGATCTGTGTATCTGACAATTTTATTCTTTACGATAGTTTTGACTAATTTGCCCGGTACTGATGATAGGCTTACAAGTCTGTAATTGCCAGGATTACAATCCTGCTATCTGGAGAGATAAAACCAGGGCTATGTTTTACCCTGCTGCCCTTGCAAAGCCCAAAGGATGTTGTTGAGGCTAAGAACTAAGCAAGACTCAAAGAGCAATTGGGAATGTCTACAGAATACTTCATGCTGACGAGACTGTTAGAAGGGAGATAAAAACATGCACTCTAGGGGTTAGAGCAACCTCCTGCTCCTAGAGATCAGGAGAGACCTTCATGACGGCAGGTGACCCCACAACAGTTACTGCAAGGTTCTTATGCCTTCCACTGTCACAAGATGGGATTCTGTACTAGATGGACCTTGGGTTGGATCCAGTTTGGCAATTCCTGTTCTTAGGGAATGGAGACTAAACTGGATTCTATTCTGGCCCAGGAACACCACAGATAATCAGCTACTCCTCCCGACAGCCCATAACATGACATGTTGTACCCAGGATGCCCGTAAAGTCTGTGGAAGATGGACAAGGCATCGACTTCCCGCAAGAGTGATTTCCTTCTGAGGGGGACTGGGTGGCGGTCACAGGGCACAGAGCAATATGTGGATTGCTGGGAGGCTCCAGCCCACAGCATGAAGCTGAGAGTAGGAGGCTCAAGTGAGTGAAGGTCCCTTGGGCCAGGCTATGCCATAGGAGTGATCTGAATGTTGTCCAAGGAAGGACGGACCAGTGGTTCGGAGGCTAAGCTGGACTCAGAAGGCCCAGGTGAATATGTACATGTAAGTCCAAGCCCGCAAGCTCCTCCAAACATCTCCCCTTGGTCTCAACTCAGTCGTCTCTGGGGGGTGGGGGGTTCACTCAGAACTTGGTCATCCGTAGAGCAACCATAGCTAGTTACTCGGCCAGCGAGCCAACAGCCCATAATGAGCATTTCACCAGGATGCGGATGATTCTGCAAGTCTGATCTCCCTATGGCCTCCCGCAGGAGCCTCGCTACACACTGAAGAGGAGGGAGAAAATGGAAGCCAACCTCGAGGACAGCAGCTTTCAAAGTTCAGCAACTCCCGGATGCCCATGTGAGTTAAGCATTTTTGGGAACCTCCTGCCCCACCCTTCACAGAGACCCCACCCCCTCTCTTTGCGTCTCCGTCCCTTATCACTTACACACCCCTCTCTTGTTCGCCCTGTCCCACCCTCACTTAATTTCACGGGGCTGGGGCAAGAAGTTGGCATGTGGGAAGGGGCTGAGGGCTCCAGCTAAGGGTGCAGGCTGTGTGGGGTCACAGATGAGGGGCTTGGGTGTAGGTCGCAGCTGTGGGCTGGGCAGGCAGCTAGAGTATTTGGGAGTGGGTGGCACTGGCTCTGGGAGGGGAAGCTCAGTGGTCTGAGCATTGGCCTGGTAAACCCAGGGTTGTGAGTTCAATCCTTGAGGAGGCCATTTAGAGCAAAAATTATCAGGGATGGTACTTGGTCCTGCTGTGAAGGCAGGGGACTGGACTCCATGACCTTTCAAGGTCCCTTCCAGTTCTAAGAGATAGGCAATCTCCATTAATTTAATTACAAAATTTAATTTAATTGAATGTTGCTATCACACCTGCAGGTCCCCCACCCCCCCACGGCTCCCATTGGTCATGGTTCTTTGCCAATGGGAGCTGCATAGCCGACACTTGGGCATGGCAGTGCACCTAGGGGCCAGAGGGATCCGGTGGCTACTTCTGGGAGCTGTGCGGAGCTAGAGCAGGTAGGAAGCCTGCCTTTAGATGGGAACCTGGGGCTGTTTCTTGAAAACTCGATGGCTGGTAACTCTGCCAGTCTCCTGCATCCCGTTGAACATCTGCTCCCTCGCGTGTAGAAGCCATTGGAAGGACCAGAAAGAGTTGCTCAGTGGGGCCCACAGATCCCCTAGAGTTCCCTTGTGGACCCTAGTCTGAGAAACGCTTGCCCTACGTCAAAGCGAGCCATCGTCCATCCTCATGTTCCCAGTCCGGCCATTTGGCCCTCTCCACGAAGCTCTCGGTATGACAGTCACTCACCATTCATGCAGTCAGTTGCCTTGAAACCAAAGGAAAGGGGACACAGAACTGCACCACGGGGGTAACCAGATGTATAGGCTGTATTATTTAATAGAAGTTACAAGAGGATAAATGTACAGTTGAAAATCAACATGCTAATTTCTAATGCATTTTAATCTGTAAACCATGCAGTCCATTTTTAATCAGTAGCTCCGCTAGTGAGTTTGAAGGAGAAAAAATAAAACCTTCCCTTTAAAGTTAAACCTAATTTCCTAAATATTCCCCTTATTGTGCAAAAAAAGCTGGTTTCACCACATTGGGGTAGAAAATAACCCTCTCCTCTCACCCCCCCTCCCAGAAAAGGCAATCCAAGCAGCCAGTGGACCCGGGAGGGTGCGTGGGAGGTAAAAATCAAAGTTAGAAAGCAAGTCAGTGCAGATGTAGTTCCTGATGAAGGAGAAGCAGGAGCTCACTAAGCACAGCAGCGTCTGCAGGGCTTTCTCTTTCAAGTCAGAGCCGGCGGACGGCAGGGGTAGAGACAAGAGGTTTGATTCTCAGTTACGCTGTGGCCCCTTTATGCTCTTGTGGCAGCTTTTAAAGGGGCCTTTTTGTAAAGGAAAATCAGATCCATGTGCCAACAAGGGTAAAGACAGGGCCAAATGGACAGCTGTGACAAACGCACCATCTCAGCTCCTTGGGATTAAACCCAACTGGATCCATCACTAGCTAAGACCAAGCTGACCACACCGTATGTGGATTACAGTTGCAATCCGCGTCACGCCAGCAAACGTGACTCTTCACAACTACGTGGACTACAGATGCAATCCGCGTCACGCCAGCAAACGTGACTCTTCACAACCATGTTGGAACCCAACATTCAAGGCCATGAATGGGAGGGGTCGGCGAAAAAACAAGCCACAACAGCAACCTCCCTATGAAACAGATGGGGGGCAGAAACAGAGCCAATCCTTTAGTTTCATATTCCGGGGGGAGGGACTTCACCCCCTGTACACACCAATACAGACATCCACAGAATCGTTCCTGTGAACCAACAAACCCCATGGAAGCAGCTCAGAGTTTGCAATAGGAAGCGTCCTTCCCACCTTGAGCTCATTGATTAGATGTTCACTTAAAGGGTGTGTTACGAAACCGTTCCCTTTGCCGCCCAAACACAGAATTTACAGCCCGTCGCAAAGGCGTTATCTGGTGCCCCACGGGCATGTAGAAACTGGTTCCTGACATTGAGGGTAATTGGATCTTCTTCTTTCATCAGGTGCATGTCGAAGTATATGGGCCCAGCCCATGGGTGGGATACATGGAAAATGAGGTTGTTTCTCTATTGCAGAATCTTCTGGCAAGTTCTAACATTGGAACCAACTAGAAAAAGCCAGGTAATGTCTTAAGGGGAATTCTGAAGCTAGGCAAGAAACGATTTAGAGAGAATGGCAAAGTTGAAATAAATGTGGTAGAACTGGTCACTGCTTGAGACAAGGAATTCCCCTCACCTCCTTTAATCGGCATTTTTGGGAGGTGAAAACTAAGTCCCATTGCCTCTTCACCGTCGCTTGCTCATTTTCCCTGCAATTAAGTCTGGAGCAGAGATAAATTGTGTTGCACTTAGAACGGCTTTGCCTTGGGACGGGAAACCAAATTCTGATTTGTTGCTGACAGCTCATTCCAACTGAACCATCGGAAAGAGAACAGAGTTGTTGAAGGCCAAGATTACTGATCCATGCTAGCAGATTTTGGATGGGGTACCATGCCCTCCAACCCACACATCCATCCATGCACGGAGTCTTTGGCAGCACTCGTAATGCCTCCACTGAAGCATCACTTGGAATGCTTCTCGTAGTGTCTCACGAACAGTTTTAGAACTGGACAAAAATGTCCAACCTAGAAGATCTGACATTTGCCAGCCCAGTCATTTCCATATCTACGTGGACAGTCTCGTTTTTAACAAGCAAACAAACATTGAACAATGAAACGGACAACTTTCCCCCTGGAGAACACAACTGTGGTCAGATACTCAAAGTGCAAAACTGCTCAGAGCTTTTGTGACGAACTCCAGCACTAGGGAATGAACACACACACTTCTCCTGACGCACCAGCGCAGTTTGCCTGTAAGTTAGTGCATTAAAGAAACCATAAAACCTCTTCCCAATGCATAGGCGGTCAGAAGTGTGTCACCTAAGTTTACAAAGACGACACCCGGGTACTTCTCAGGCAGCGGAACTATCAATTAGTGCTTAGATATTTTTGCAGGGGGGGGGACCCAACAAAAGCATTTTTCTAGTGTGACTATTTAAAAAAATGAAGGGATGGTCATCTATGTACATGAGTACATTAATAGCAGCATTGTTTGGGGAGGGGCACAGGTCTATCGGAGTGGGGGGTTCTGCTCCTGCCCCCGTTTTGCAGCTTTATAATAAACTTTCCCTCCTAAGCACTACCATCCGTATCAGAAGATACAAATCATTAGTAAGAGTTAGAGGAGATTTTAAACATCTTCCAAAGCTTTTAAAGCAATCTGTTTAAAAGATTCATTTCATTTTGAAGGGATGGGACTGCGTCTCTTGGAACAAAACGTTAATTAGGAACAGAGCACCAAAATTCCATTTTTCATCCCCGTTAAGTGACTTGTGGTTAGGAGTTTGACCTCCCGAAATCAGAGACTCTCTGCATCTCCAACTTGGCAGAGGCTGCTTTCCTAGCAGAAAATCCTCAATGCCGGAGCCAGGTCACGTGATGCTGGTCCAGGCGTTTCACATGGCGTCTCCAAGCAGAGCTTAAAGAGCTAGGAAATTAAAGCTCGGCAGGCCACTTTGCTCCTCTTTAAATTGAGCTTGGTGGAGGCAGGACAGAGTTGAGCGGCCGGTCCCGGTAGGTTTGCTGTTGCCTGGGGTCACGGCGGAAAGGTTTGTCTCAGGGATTCTGTTTACTTTGTTCTTTTATATTAATTAGGGCGCCCAGTGGAACCTCACTATATGGAATACCTCTGAACGTAAAGCCTGAAACATGCCTTTAACAGCTCACAACTTTGCTCTGCTGACACCTACTTGGGCACGATAACTCTCCTCTAGCAAACAGCCCGAGTGATACATGTGCGGGTGTGTCTCCCCATCCCATTTCTATTATTTAACAAGGAGTGAAGAAAAAAAAATCACCACCTGCAGCAAAACCAGCGGCTGACAAACGCGATTCAAAACTGTATTTGACAGTCTGTCCTCCTCCTAATAAAACACTGGAACTGCCAGAGCGCCTTATAGGTCATGCTTCTGATGCTCATTTATACCATTGCCAGCAGCTGCAGCAGCTTGCTTCCAAAAGGGTTTTAAAGTGCTCACAACTATTTATGGCCCTTAAGTGCCTTGTGGACTCCTCATTTTTTCAGCATTGGCCCGCCGTGGGGTTTGGATGTTTTTTTTTTTAAAACTATACATTCATTTTAATGCAGCACGTTTATCTTGCATCTGATGCGTATGTGATTCTCAGCACATCACCGCCTCTCCCCGCGCTCCTGCATCAGAGAAGCGTTCCTCTTCCCGGCCGAATGCAAATGTGTTTGTCCCTTTGTCTTTGATACTGATTACTGGGAACTGTGACTGGTGATGCAGCTGGTGACACTTCCGGTGTCTACTGAGAAACCAGGTCTTCTGGCCCTTCCACTAGATTTTCACAGCCGTGTTGCGGCTTCCCTTTTTCAGGAGCTCAGTTAAGAGGAGTTTTCACTGGCCCAGAAGCCGGTGAATTCTCCCCTGGAAACAGAGATTGCAGATTCTTCCCCCTGGAGTTAGCAGCGTCCGTCTAGCTGCTGCAACCCACGAATCCAGACTTTGCAAGTGGGGTGGGTTCAGAACACTCATCTGGTTCTCTCAAGTCAGGTGAACCTACTGCACGCGACATCTTCCCGGCACAGGAGAAGCTGGGTTGGATGGCTTCACTTTCACACTCTCGTTGGGCATGGTACAAATGTGTGTGTCGAAAGGTAAAAAAAAAAAAAAGCCCAGGGCAGAGTACTGAACCCTTCGCCGCCAGTCTGGAGCATGACAAAACAGGAGCATTTCAGAATTAGCGCAGAGCCTAAACAGGGAAGTGACCCAGTTGCCCCCGGTGTTGAGGAAAGCCTTCGCTAGCAGAGCAGTTCTTTGGCTTGCCGATCCCTTTCCATCCGTGTCAATTACTAATTTCATGTCGCGTTCACCATCCTTCAAAACCTGTGCTCTGAAAGGGGTTTTCCAAAAGGAAATACAAGGAAAATGCCAATATACAGCCCTCCCCAGTATAAAAAGACCCTGCATACTTATCCCATCACACTGATGTAGCCAGTGGCACAGGGTCACGGCTTACAAACGTGGCTATCGACACGCAGGTGCAAGTAACACGTACCCTTATAAGAAATGCATCGCTGAGGAGCATTGGGGAAAAAAATTGCCCTTACGAAAGACAAATGCAAGATAACCTCCTTGTCCACCCTGTGCTTCTATACGTGTTGGATAGTGGTACCGGCACAGCAGCCAGGAAATGCAGAAGCAACCCTCCAGGCACCTGCGTGGCCAAACAGAGCAAGGCCGAACGTGGCCCAGAGAGCCAGCCCTCACCTTGCACAGGAATGCGAAGATTCGAGGGCGAAAGGGACAAACCGAAATCTCTCCCCAATTGCTAGAAAAGGTGCATTGGCTGCTTCAAACAAATAATTGCCGGGGGCAATAAAAACAACCCCGGCTCAAACCGATGCGTAAAAAAAAAAAAGACGCATATTTCAGGGTCGAAGCAGCGTTACTTTTGTGGATATGTACACATTAGGAATGTGAATGGCTCCCTGCAATGCTAGTAGTTATAGGCAAATATGAAGCATGACATGCCTGCTCCCACAGAAATGGGACTAACAGTAGAATATTTTTGCATCTGGATTTGATATTGAAGAGGGATCCACTAGATACATCTCCCCCCAGAACAGTTACAGTCTAGTGGGTAAATACAAGGTAAGGGCATTACCAGCATACATTCTGTACATAAGCACTCCAGTTGGCTTCTTTGGGAGTCTTATGCAGAGGAGGAGGGACTATAGAACAGACTATAGAACAGACACTTGCTACAGACCACAGAGGAGATTCTGGCCCTTAGGCACTTTTTACCAAGTGGCTATTCGAGCTTCAATGTTCGGTGGAGTGCTCTGGAGTTCCCTGTGACGCGGGAGTGTTCATAAGTCCGTTCAGTTCTCTGCCAGAGTTCGGCGAACAGCAATGCCTTGCGGCCTGCAAGGTTGTGAGGAGCACTGACACTAGCGTCACTGGGCCGTCCCTCCGGACATTCGGGAAGGGGGAAGAGAGAAGACCAAGTCGCATGGAGTTGCAGAGAAAGGCAAAATTGTGGCACGGCGTCGGCACGGCGTCTGCCTGCCTCTTTGCGGAGTGTTCATTTCCATCCTGGATGAGGCAGAATCACACCACCACCACCCCAGGCCAAACCGGCACCACAGGCACAACGCTGAAGCAGAATTATTGCGTGACTCTCGCGCTAACCCATCTGATGACGCTGTCACTCTCGCGCTCCTCCAGGACAGTGTCTTTGCAAAAAGACAGCAGCAGCTCCTAACGAATTATTCCAGATTACGGCGTACAGTCCTGCTCAGCAGGTCCAATTACAGCCCGGATGGATCTGGTTAGTGAACTTCTCCTGCCGGGAGTCTGCAAACTAAGCATGAAGTTAGCATGCATGTCAACACCACAAAAGGAATGGATTGGCATTTCTGTGCACGCGCTGCCTAACTATACCCAATACGCTAATCTGCATTCGGCAGCTCACAAGCTGGGCTCTTTCCATATGAAAAGGCATGTCTGAGCTACAGGAAGGGAGGAAAAGCATTGGAAACCACCACGCTCCCATACTATTTTTTTCGCCACTTGAATAACTTAACAAAAGAAAAGTCAAAAGGATTCTCTGACTTTGGTTAAAAAAAGCGCATCTGGGCCCGAGCTTTTCTTTCAAGTTGCAGCTTTCCGGTCGACTTATAAACCCCTGAAAATAGGAGTTTAGAGTGTGAGAGGAGGACATCCCCTTTCACTGCAGCAGTTCAAACAATGCCGCGAGATCACCACTTGATTATTTCCCTATCCACATTTTCCCATAAGGGCAGGTTCCGTGAGTACTATACACGGGAATACAAAAATACATATATTCTCTTTAAACAAGAATCCCAGATCCAGGTGCAGGGAGGCTTCTGTGCAGAAATTAGCACAGTCCTGAAATCCCCAACGCCCATCCCAAGCAGCTGACAACGCTCACAAATGGTGGCTGTTGATCAGACTCCGAAGTTGCTTAGCCACAGTGTCTATCAGCTTCTGTTTGTCTCTCTCGTTCTTCCGGAACTGCGCAAAGACGTTGTTCTTTCGGCTGGCGTCTTTCATCCTGCGCAGAATGGAAACAACCAATCAGGTTACTTTGCCCCATAAATCACTCCGAGGCACCCTACCTCAGAAAACCTCCTACTGAACCCAGTCTGCCTTGCCCTCCGCTTTCAACGACAGCGTTGCTCATATGGTAGTTTGTATCGATACCTCCTTGGTGAGAGAACTTTTTTTTATTGCCTGAGAGATAGAACTAGGTGGTCTTTCCTCTGGCTTCTATGGCCTGGGGGCAAACAAGGACGTACAAAGCCAGCGCCCAATACTGTGCACGGGCATTACATTGTACAAAACTATCTCCAGATTTATTCTTTTAAACTAGGCAGTCACAAAATCACTGCAGAATGTTTATTTATGGGGTCCCTTTAATGCCAAAACACGGTCTAGGTCCATGGATCCTGAAACCATCTAGCTCCCCTTCCCTCGCTTTGATCTGTTTTGCCAAAGAGAGAAGGAGATGATAACAGTGGGTCCGAAAGTGAACCAGATGCAGTTACATTTGCAGTGGTTCAGATACATGCATGCCTGTCTACGCACATGTAGAGGGCGCCGTGCCTTGTGATGTGGTCAATGCGTTAGCTACACACGGTCTAGGCACATGGATATAGCGTACAACACTATAGCTGAAGTAGGCAAGCAAGGTTGACACAAAGCGTCACTCCAAGCCCATTTACAACAGCAGGTGGAGGTCGTAATGTACTGGGTTCAAAGCAGGGCAGGAACCAGAGATGTCATTTCCAGCTAGAAGAGATGTAGCTGCACTAATTCAGACTGAGCTAGTGTGCTAAATAAACAAGTGTAGCCGTGTGAGTACAAACCCACCCGAGGTCCTTTGTACATACGCAGGGGACTAGACATCGGACTAACCTCTGGCCTACTGGCCTCAAGAAGCCACCACTGGTTTACAGTAACACCCTTCGTGGCAATACTTCTTTTCAAATCAGGCCAAAGGTAATTGTCCTTGGAGAGATTCCAGGTATTTTCAGATTCTGATGCCTTAAAATTAGGGACAAGTAATCTCATTTTCAGAGATGTTAAACTCCTATTTACCTGCCTCAGTATGGAGGGAGGTATCTAGTTTGGAGCACCCAAAGGGAGAAACAGTGATATATTAGTGCCCGGAAAGTTTGCAACTTTCTGAATTAGAGGCTTTTGACTTATCGAAGCACAAAACAAACCTTTTCAAACACCTAACACCCACTATTTTTTCATGCTCCGATCTCACAAAACAAAGCCAAGTGGAATTCGAAACTTTCACACACACCCCCAAGCTTGTTATGAGTGACAAGGATAATGCCATCCTTTACTCCAAAAGACAATTATGTGCTAAGTTTTAAGTGCCTGAAGACAGGGGCTTACAGTTGGAGCCCCTTCTTAAGTGTGGAGCTGGTGAGGATTTGACACAGCAAAACAAATGTGATCGTGCATATCTGAAGAGCATGTGATTGGTGGAAGTACCATGCCATTAACGAGGAAGTGCGCACATGACGGGAGAGGTGAGTGTTGCTAAGTGCGACAGGAGACATTTTTAATGCTCCAGAGTTCAAGCGTGACACTATGAAGTGTTATTTAAAATAGCCATTAGCATATCTATTAACACCGAGCATCTTCAAAGCGTCCAAGGGGGCTCGGAGTAACTGGAAACAGACCCCACCTGCTCGATCATGGGCACAATGAGTATTATGGATACAACTATTGTGTTCATTGACATTGTGAACACACTGATTGCTGTGACGGAGACAGATCAGCCCGAGCTGTTAACGTTTGGGGCTGGATCCAAACTTCCTGAAAAGCTGGATGCGAAAGGGAATGATTTCCTTAACGATTTAAGTAAATTACAGAAACTGGAGGGAAGCGAAAGTCTTGCATAGTCCAGGCGCGGGACCACCTGGAATTACAACAGTGTATTGCTCTTAACTATGGAAGAATCCAGGCCTCTGGAAGACTATTACTTCAATGTACTGCCCGACAGGGTGTCTACGCAGGTATGCCAGAGAAAGAAAAGATGCCCTTTTGGGGGATGGTTGAGATGGGATTACTGTTTGATAGGATAATAGAGGTTTTAATCCTGCCCTCAGTACAGGGCCAACAGACCCGTGAGTCTACGCAGATTCCGACTGATGTCAATTGCAGAATTGGAGTCTTGGATGTCTGGTTGATAATGCAATTAGCTCCGATTCCAGCAGCTGTGTAACAGTATCCTGGGACCTGTGGATGACGTGCAGCCATTGCTGATGCAAGATCAAGCTATTCTGCTTTGCCATGGTGCTCCTTACTTCCAAAAGTGACAAAGCAGCATTGTAATGATTTTTTAAAAACATCTGTGCATTCCTTTGGCAGTTTTATCTGCACTCAAAACATTGTGGGCAGCAAGGCTTATTTAAACTGGGCGCCTGTGCTACCACTCGTGTGTGGCTGGATTTCTTTCCTCTGGACATAGATTTGAATCCATAAACTGAAGCACATGGGCTTGTGTAAACGACGTGATTCCTACTAACCCATGCATGCAAAGTAATTTCGTCTCTATCTGAGCAAAAAATCTAATCACCCTCTTTTCTTTAAACCTTTCCATAAAGGTCTGAGGGCCAACTTCTGTATTTTAACTATGTATTATAAGCTCCCAATCACATTTGGGGAGGACGCCAGTACGGAGGGAAGAATTTGGTCTTAACTATGTGTTTTTCACTCAGTCCCATGTGGTTAGGCATCAGTGTTCTTGGGAGATCGCTGAATTCACGGGTCAATTCTATTTCAATACCAGCCTGCAAGAAATTCCTGGCCCTATAACAGATGGAAAGCCAAATCACGCATAGAGAATTTTGGTTGAGGGTGCTACTCTATCAAGCAAAAAAAAAAAAAAAAAAACCCCAAAAACCCAAAACTTAAAAAAACTCTTTTGAGTAAGGACGGTCCCTTTAGTTATGCGTCTGCACAGAATCTAGCATCATGAGGCCTTGAGATGCTACCACAACAGTTATTTACAAAAACAAAGGAGAGTTAAGCTTGGTCTCCACCTCAGCCAATACCACTTCAGACTGAGCCAACGTCTGTTGAAATTAATCTATAACAAAGCAACACAGTAAAAGCTCCTCTTTTAGTTGTATTTAGTGCATTTGAGACCATAATGTTATGGGGCGAACAGTTTCAAAGAGCGCTTGCATTTTAGATTGTTTAGTGCTCCGTTGAAATCAAACAACACAGGATTTAGTGCAAGGTGAATGGAAAAGCCCAAATGAGCAGCATACTTACACGCGTGATATCCTGTGAAAGAGGTGTGATTAGGAAAAGAGATAATCATGAAAAGAAGTTAAAAAATTAACCAGCAGATCAGACTCATGTTGTCCGGTTGGCACAGCTAGTTACGTATGGGTAACTGGGATTCTGGTCTCGATGTCTGGGGGAGGAGGGAAAAGGTACATGCGTAAAGCCAATGACTGGAGTTCTGGGTGGAACACCTCACGAGCCATTGAGAGCGTATACGCTATGGCAGCCAGTGGAAGTCGTGGTGTGAGATGGATTCAGCACAATGATCTATACGGAATCCTCAGGGTGCCTAGAGTTTGATGGGGGATGGGAATGAGGCTGCTGAGCTGAGCGCCTGAATGCCAGCGTGAACATCCCAATCACTCAGCTGAGGCATGTGTCAAGCTAGCGGATGCACCAGGGCAGGTCTGGCAAAACCACTGGGCGCGGGAAGTTCACGCCGACTAGATGAAAATGAGGCAGGTCTTGGGACACTGGCGGGATTATTTATGGTGGCTTTTTTAAACAAATACTCGAGATGGAGGGCGGATGGGCAAATGCTCCACAGATGGAATAGCAGCGCGGGCAAGGTGGTGTAAGTACGAGTGGAAGGAGCTCTCCTCCCTCAACACCTATGGGTGTTGAGCTAGGCACACTAACTTCCGCTGGACCAAGAAGTGGATTCCTCCCTATCAACTTCGGCCACTTAATTTATGCAGCTTTCACTTGGCCTGGGGTACGCTACACCTTGCTAGGACACTGCCGTCGCCACAGTGTGAACCAGGCCCTTTCTGCAGACGGTTATTACCATGCCATCAATAACACTCAGTCTTTATGCACAGTGCTTCAGATGCTAAACGGGCATTACATACTTTAATTAAACCCCATTTTACAGATACAAGGCCTTTGTGGGGCCCTTCTGTGGGCGATTAGCTACTCGCACCCATAAGATGGCAGTTTGCATTTTTTTTTTTTTTTGAGGATTGCTGGTGACTAGCTGAAGGACCTTGCAAAAGATGCAGCAACACTAAGGAAGCCTTTGACGATCTTGGGGGGTATTACAAAACAGCACCACGGCACTTAAGCTGAACGTGAACTCTGATGTCTGAAACCAGCCATTTTCAACACTGTGATTTTCAAAAGGTGCTGAGGAGAGGCAGCAGGATTGGTTTTAATGGGCGTATTCTGGGTGAGCTGCAAGAGGGGCTAAGTGACCGGTGTGCCTTGCTGGCTGCACAAGGACAGTGTGACGACGGGTGGAAGCCAATGTTGCTTTCTCTTAATGTTGGCCCAAACCTCTGGAAGGATCATCGTTGTCTTTTAAAGACTAGCGTTAAGGCATGGCCACCTGGAGCGCTCTCATAGCAGAGATCTCAGAATCCCTACTGTGAAGTGCTCAAAGCTTCCCTACCAGGCTTCTGCAGCCCAGTAACAACTCGAATGCAAAGCTGTGAAAGCCTAAACCAAGGCTGGGCAAGATGCGGCCCATCTAACACTTTGATCCGGCCCGTGGATGGCATCTGGCTGCTTTTTATTTATAACCCACTGCCCATGCCAGGTGGTGGCTCAGGCAACAGGATCTTATTTAAATGGTTCATAGCTTAGACACGGCACTACCAGAGCCGGAAGCCCTTTTAAAATCTGTGCAACGCTGGGTGGCTGCCAGGAAATGTGGTAGCAGCGGGGCCAGGAGCCCTCTGCTGTGTTTTTAATTCCAAGCCTGTGGCACCAGAAAACTCTGAGGGGAGGCTAGTTTTCAGCCCTGCCCCTTTTGGCCGGACCCTGCCCCTTCCAGAGGTGGAGCCAGCCCATGACCATGTACCAAAATTCATTAAGTGGCCCCGCTGCAAAAACTATTGCCACCCCTGGCCTAAACGGTATGGATGGATACGACTACTTCTGGTGCCCACATCCAACACACATCTATACAAGGAAAGCTGCTCGTGAACAACATGGAAACGCTATTCAAAGTAAAGCAGACTGCACGTCCCAATTTTAAAAATATTGGTGTAAAACTTATCTGGAATTGAAATTGCTTCAAGGCTCGGGGATACCTAGAATGCAGTTCCAGTTAGCATGAGAAAGAGGGATTGGCTGTAACAGACTCTTCCACTGTACCTACCAGGGTGCAAAAAAGGCCGACTCTGAACATAGGCATGCGTGCTAGCAAGCAATTCCTAGCTTCCCAGAGATCAGCGCAGCTTAGGCAGTGTGAATAATGAAATGCATTGCTGGGAACCCCCTTGCTCGGGGAAGCAAGGACAGGAGTTGAAACCATCAAAAGAACGTCTCGAACCGTACTCACTTTTCCAGCAGGATAAGGGCTGTCGTCGGGTTCACACGGAGATATTTGCAGGTGGGCTGCCCGTAGTCAGCCAAGTAAGTTGACCAGTCCCACTGGATGAACAGATCGAGAAGCTGCAAACACACAAACAACCCCCGCCCCATGTTTTATATGGATATTTTAAGATCAGAAGGTCCACTTAAAAGAGCTACCCAGGGAATCAGGACGGCATGATCACCTGGAGAAGGCTTTCAAAAATGCTTTTCAAATACGAGTTCACCTAGCTTCACAGCACCCCGGGCAAGTCTGGTAAGCGCTACCTCCATTTTACATAGAGAAAACTGAGGCACACAGAGGTTAGCGGACTTGGTCACACACGCACAGAGAGCAGGTGGCAGAGCCAGGAACTGAAACCCAGTGTCTGCTACCAGAGTCACAAGACCATCTATATACAGATGTTAAAGTCATATCAAGTTCCTCCCTTCAACTACGTTACCGGAAGTTTCATTTGAACTTTGCCAAGAAGGGTATTTCCAGCCACGATCACTACAGCATAGAGCGAGGTAAATTCCTGGTTTTGCCGTTCATCCAGCAAACTGAGAAGTCAGGGAAAATATTTAGATCTGAAAATGCTTGGAATTTGTCTGCAAATTGACGGGGTCAGCAAACGGTCTGCCTGTCATACCTGTGGGCTCTATGGGCTAAGAATGGCCACACTGGGTCAGACCAAAGGTCCACCGTGCGTCCTGTCTGCCGCCAGTGGCGATTAAGGCACTCACCTGTGAGGTAGGAGATGTGGATTCAAGTCTTTGCTCCTGGATTCAGAGGAGGAATTTGAAGCCACCTCTCCAACTGTCCACCCCAGTGCCTTAATCACCAGGCTGGAGAAAGACCAGATGAGGGACGTAGTATCTTTCATTGGGCCGACTGCAGATGGTTAGAGACAGAGCTCTCAAACTCACGCAGAACTGCGCGGCGGGCTAGCGAGCCGTTTGCATTGTCCTCTCTCGTTGGCCCAGGGAATAGTTACGTTTATACAAAGCGGAACAGCATCTATAGGAAACCTGAGGGTTGTGGGGATTCAAACCTGGGTTTCCCACATCCCCAGGCCAGTTCCCCAACCAATGGGTGGAAAGTCACCAATGGGACCGATGGGCATGCACACAGCTGGTTTACTGAGCCTTAAAATCCCCCCCTCCCAGCCAAAAACATTGGGTTAAGTTTGCAAATAAGAACATAAGAACGGCCAGACTGGGTCAAGCCAAAGGTTCATCTAGCCCAGGAGCCTGTCTGCCAATGCCGGTGCCCCAAAGGGAGGGAATTCCACAGGTAATTCTCATGTGATCCCTCCCCTGTCTCCCACTTCTAGACAGAGGCGAGAGTCACCATTCCTACCCATCCTGGCTAATAAGTATTGATGAACCTAATCTCCATGAATTTATCTAGTTCTTTTTTGAACCCTGTTAAAGTCCTGGACCTCACCACATCCTCTGGCAAGGAGTTCCACAGGTTGACTGTGCGCTGAGTGAGGAAAAACTTCCTTTGGTTTGTTTTAAACCTGCTACCTATTCATTTCATTTGATGACCCCTAGTTCTCACATTATGGGAAGAGACACTTTCAGAGGCACTTTCCCTGTTGCCCATGCACACCTTTGCCCCTCCCACTCGCCCCCCGCTTTGTATCTGTCTGCGCACTGCCCAGCCCCTGGAACAACCCCTCACCCCAGGGGCAAGCTGGCTGCTGCATTGATCGCTCCTAGGCTCCATTCCCTCCAGCCAGAGAGCTGGGGGGCTAACACAGAAGAAAAAATTCCTTTTGTTTGTTTTAAACCTGCTGCCTCTTAAGAACATACATAAGAATGGCCGTACTGGGTCAGACCAAAGGTCCATCTAGCCCAGTAGCCTGTCTGCCGACAGTGGCCAGCACCAGGTGCCCCAGAGAGGGTGGACCGAAGACAATGATCAAGCGATTTGTCTCCTGCCATCCCTCCCCAGCCTCTGACAAACAGAGGCCAAGGACACCATTTTATCCCCTGGCTAATAGCCTTTTATGGACCTAACCTCCATGAAATTATCTAGCTTCTCTTTAAACTCTATTATAGTCCTAGCCTTCACAACCTCCTCTGGCAAGGAGTTCCACAGGTTGACTACATGCTGTGTGAAGAACTTTCTTTTATTCGTTTTAAACCTGCTACCCATTAACTTCATTTGGTGGCCCCTAGTTCCTATACTGTGGGAATAAGTAAATAACTTTTTCTTGTTCACTTTCTCCACACCACTCATGATTTTATCGAACTCTATCCTATCCCCCCCTTTGCTCTCCTCTTTTCTACGATGAAAAGTCCCAGTCTTTTTAATCTCTCTTCACATGGGACACATTCCAAACCCCTCCTCATTTTTGTTGCCATTTTCTGAACCTGGAAACCTGAACCTGGAGCCTGAAAATAATTTTGGTTCAACTCAAACTGCATTTTTCAGTGACTAAACTATCCCCAAAATGTCACCCGGCTTTATTACAGAGGGTTTGAAGTGTTCCAAATGTCTCCTCTACTCAGAGCTGTGAAGTGGGTAGAAGACAGGCGCTCAGAAGTTCAGATGTTAGCCAAGCACAATGTGTCTACCAAACCGGACTGGTTTGCGCAGGTGCTTTCCAGTCGTTCTGTTACGGGGTGAAATGTCCTGGCAGTTCCAGGAAGTGAAGACAGATGGTTTCACAGATGTCTGGGAATCTTGGTTCTAAAGTACTGGACAAAAGTGCAAGGTGGGACATTCTGGCCCGAACCATTTCACGCGGCCATAAAATCAACATATGCATGTGCCATGCCCATACTTTCACTGGGTCGGGCGTTCCCTCTAAAATCTGATGGCCGCCCACTGTCAACAAAGCCCCTGTTAACCTTGAGCCTGGGTGAGGAAACCGTCATGCTAAACGAATAGTTTCTCTCAGAAACTTTCTTCAAAGGAATTCATTCAAACTTTCCTCCCAGCTCTCCAAAGACCAGCGACTAATCAAAGACACCTGGGATCTTTCACCCTCCCACCTTGGAGGCATGTGCTGTGTTGTTCCAATACCCGACATTCAAGTTCACCTACTTGACACTGAGTTCCACATTGTTCGTGGTCATAATTTGATTATCTATTGCAGTCCTACTTGACAATGCTGTTTGTCCGCTATGGACGTCAAGGCTTCTGAAAGGCATCTAGCTCCAGCCTCAGACACAAAGCTGCTGAAGTTTCTCTTTCCCATGCTGCACTTTTAAACTCATAACTTTTGGCTGCAGGGAGGGTGTTAATTAAGCAGAACTAGGATCAGACGTGCCTTTTACGCCCCAGCTTCGGCCAAAATGACAATCATCGTGACAGCACATCCAAAAATATGCTAATGCACGTTGTATATCGGAAGACCACATCACTCAAGCCTGCTGGAGTAACTGCAACAAGCGGTGTTGATTTTTTAAAAATGAATTCAGTAAAATGAATTTAAAAGGGAGAAGAAAAATTCATTTTTGGTTAAGTGGCTGCATTTCAATGAAGCCTTCACGACCGACGTTTCATGCCACACGTTGGAATCCTGGGACACGAAAGACTCCATGTTACGTATGTTTAAAGGATTTTATTTAATTAACTGCCCCGATTCACGGAACTATACGTTGGAGGGAAAACCATGTTCTAGCAAGGGAAATTTATTCACGATTTCAAGACCAACCCCTAATTTCCTTTGCATTGTTTCACTTCACAGGACACTGAAGTAGCCTGTAGGAGAAATAAAGAGCTAGGCGCCTGAACCAAAGTAAGCAAGAGTTCGACTACGAGTAACAGGCTGTGTCAAAAGCAGATGTTTGCCGGCAAGTCAGTGTCTCTCTAGTACTAGCACTGCTAACAGCACATACGTTATGTAAATACATTCCACCAAGACAATACAAGGACAGCCAGCTGAGGACATGATACAATAGTCTGAAACAACAAGAGTGAAAGCAGAACCACAGGTAACGAATAGCAACACTTTGGAGGAAAGCATCAGGGGAGGTACCAAATGTGTCATCAATGCGTAAGATGATACACATGGAGTGTATCAGATATTGTTTGTCTCAGTCTATAAACGTTAGGGCACCTCGACTTAACTCTTTGGCCAGCCTGGGGGCAATAGTGAAATCCATACTATTGATTGAGCCGCGTCCACTGTCCCAGGTACACATACGTGGGGGGTGGGAAGCCATCTGGCTACCGCCAACTATGAATGTACTTTGTTGGACAAAAAATCTGACTCAGGCGGCTTTGTATCTTATCTGAGTTTGTGGTCTTTGGGGGCTCTAGCAAAGTCTATCATGCTAGCTACCTGCGCAGAGCTGGCATGATATACTGAGGGAGCACACAAAAACGCACACAGCCAAACGTTTGTCCTCACTGTCGGCAGAGGAGACCTGTCAGAACACCATACCAGTGAATCCTAAATTTACAACATTGGTAACCTGACCTACTGCATAGATTCTCAACCTCTTTTTTCATATTAGGAGCCCCTTTTCCACACGGGAAGCCTTCCTTTCATTTAGCTGAGATCC